GCCTAGCCGCAGCCAGCCCTATATAAGGGGCTGCTGCGGCTGGGATATTTCGCTCAGATCTGAAGTCACTAATAAAGAGCTGTTGTTGCTATCTGAGTCTTGTCTCTGTCCTTGGACCCATCCTCCCAGAGCTAACACTATGTCTTTAAGAAAATGCAAAAACTGTAATTGGGTATGGTTTCTCAAACGGCCATAAGATGGAGCTAGAAACTTGGATTGTTTAGTCTCAGTCTCTTTATTCCTTCTGTTGGAGAGTATTGCCATTCTTCCTAATGACTGTTACTGATCATTGATGTAAGTCTGTTACTGAACTGTTTTTGATACTGGACTTTGATATTTGGATTATCCCTGAACTGAACACTGACTGCCTTACCTGTGAATGACTTGGACTGCTTATCTTGGAATTTGCTTAAACATTTATCGGCAGTAAAACCTACATTTACTGTACAGTGTATCTGTGTGCTGTGTGTGTGTTATTCTTCCCTACTCTCACTACGTCTCCCTGTATGCGCTAATTCTCCTAACAGGGAATTAACCCAACACCCGGCATCCCAGACATTATAATATATCAATTCTTCTTTGTCTCTTAATTTCATTGTTAGCCTGTCCATCTCTGAACAGTCTAATTTTTTTTTATAACAACACCCTCTGAAGGTACATTTTCCTGCTTCCAAAATTGTGCGTAGGAAATCCTAGCAGCTGTTAAGATATGTAGCATAATGTATTTATCTTTTTTATTATATTTTTCTGTTATTATGCCTAATAGATATAGTTCTGGTTTGGGTTCAATTTTCTTTTTTTTATTTCTTCTAGCCACAATTAAATTATATTCTAACATTTCTTGACCTCTGGGCAGGTCCACCACATATCAAAATCTGTACCATTTTCTTTTTTACATTTCCAACAGTTTGGGCTTAGGTTGAACATTTTTGCTAGTCTAGCAGGAGGAAGATTGCACCTATAAAACATTTTATATAGATTTTCCCTGTGTGCTATGAACATAGCTAATTTGTAATTTAGTCCCCACATTTTTTTCCATTGCATTTGGGGTAGATTTGTGCTTCCATAGCTGACAGGCAGCATGGTACTTTATGATAATGATTCTTTTTAATTTTATTCCATATTTGAATTAATGAGTCTCTGATAAGGTGTCTCTGAATATATGAATGTTGCTTATTTTTCCCTTCCCATAGAAAGCTATGCCACCCTTTTTGCAAGTTGTGGCCTTCTATCAAGAGTATTCTTTTATTTTCCAGATTGATTCATTTCTTGAGCCATACCATGGCTGCTACCTGATAGTACATTTCCCAGTCAGGGAGTCCAAAGCCACCCCTTTCTCTTTTGTCCTGTAATAGTTTCATTTTTATCTTAGCTTTTTTTTCCCAAATAAACTTAATTACTATTTTGTTCAATTCTCCAAAAAAAAAATATTTTACTTTACATCTAAAAAACATCCAAGTTACCCAAGAACTTGCTCTTCCTGAGACCATAGTCTGTGAACTGTCCTTAAATATTACATTTCGATTCTTACTATGTTACAGAGCCCCTGATTATGACATTGAACATGTAAACAAGCTAAATTCACTACTAACATGGGCAACATCCTGTCCACACACTTTTATCTTTCTTGGTGACTTCAATCTACCTCATATTAACTGGACCCTAAATGAATGTAAAACTAAACCCATACATGCAACCTTCTACAATGCTGTAACAAACCTGGGACTGGAACAACTAGTAACCAACAATACTAGACTTAACAACTGCCTCGATCTCAACTTCTGCAGTAGTTTGAATTCAATTTATGGAATACAAATTAAAGAACCCTTTTCCAACAGTAACCACAGCATGATTGACTTTTGTCTCAACATACGTCCACACAAAAAAACACAACGATGTGATCCCCAATTATAACTTCAAAAAAGGCAACTATGATCTTATAAACAATGATCTCTCATACCTTGATTGGCAATTTCTATTCACTGGATGCAATACTGTTGAAGACCATGACAACCTATTTTTACTTGAAGTCAAAAGAGTTATCAAACTATATGTACCAATAACAACTCCCCAAACCAGAAAAAAACAAATTACCCATAAGAATAAGGAAGCTTCAACAGAAAAAGAAATCACTTTGGCGGAAAACCAAATCTGGTCATGTTGCCAACTTCAAAAGCCAATACAAAAATGTATGTCACCAGATAAAGACTGAATGCACCAATTATGACATTAAACAAGAGGAAAACCTTCTATGCACCAATTCCACCCATGCTTTCTCCAGTTTTGTAAACAACAAACCAAAAGACTCAAGGTCCATCCCACCCCTGAAAAGACCTAATGGAAAAGATTGCAACGATGACACTATTAAAACCAACTTCTTTAACACATTCTTTGGCTCAGTATTTGTAAACAGCAATGGATCATGTCTAGTATTTCTTAGTCGAACCACAGACAACTACGATTATCAAATACATATTGATTTTACAGTAGACAATGTTGAAAAAGCACTATGCAATCTAAAATCATCTCTATCTATTGGACTGGATGGAATATGTGCCTACTTTTTTAAAAAGCTATCTACTGCCATAGCTGAATCTCTAAGCATAATCTTTGAAAAATCTTTCAGGACCCGCTCCTTGCCAAAACTATGGTCACAAGCCACAGTCATCCCCATCTTCAAAAAGGAAGACCCCAGCCTAGTTGAAAATTACAGACCAATCTCATTATGCTGCATCACCTGTAAAGTCATGGAATCAATTATTAACCAATCCATTATCTTCCACTTAGAGACAAACAACTGACTCTCTAATAAACAATTTGGTTTCAGAAAAAAACTACCCTGCAATCAGCAACCCTTAAAGTGCAAAAAGATATGGACTACACAACTTGATCAGGGCAAAGCAATTTCCATAGACTTCTGTAAAGCCTTTGATTGAGTGGTACACGACAAACTACTCCTAAAACTAAAATCTTACAGTATCTCTGGCCACCTGCATAACTGTATAGAAGCATTCCTCTCAAACAGACAACAAATGGTCAAAATTGGGAGCGTCCTATCAAATTCTGTACCTGTCAACAGTGGTGTCCCCCAAGGCAGTGTTCTAGGACCAATTCTCTTCATACTTTACATAAATGACCTCTGTGATCATATTAAGAGCAACTGCGTTCTCTTTGCTGATGATGTAAAGCTATTCAACACCACAGACAATACTGTTACCCTTCAAAAAGACATCAACTATGTATCAGAATGGTCAAATGGCAACTTCAAATCTCAGCAAATAAATGCTCTGTCTTACATATTGTCAAAAAAAAATCAGAAAATAAAATACAGGCTGAATAATCAAAACCTTGTTGATGATCCAAACTCTGTCAAGGATCTTGGAGTACTCATCTCAAATGCTAAAGCCCACTGTAACTACATAGCCAAAAATGCATTAAGAGTTGTTAAGCTAATCTTACGTAGGTTTTTCTCTGGTAATATTACACTACTAACTAGAGCATACAAACATTTGCTAGACCAATACTCGAATACAGCTCATCAGTCTGGAACTCACATTACGTATCTGATATTTACACAGTTGAGAAAATCTAGAAATATTTCACAAGAAGAGTTCTCCACTCCTCTACTTGTTGCAGAATACCTTATGCCACCAGACTTGAAATTCTAGACCTAGAAAACCTAGAACTACGCCGCCTTCAGTCCAATCTAAGTATAGTATATAAAATCATACCTTGCAATGTCCTACCTGTCAAGGTAGGACATTGCAAGGTATGATTTTATATACTATACTGTATTGTCAACTATAACAATACAAGAGCAAACAATAGATACAAACTCAAGGTTAATCGCACCAAAGTTGATTGCACGAAAGGCGACTTCAGCAACAGAATGGTCAATGTCTGGAATATTCTACCTGACTCTGTGGTTTCTTCCCCAAACCCCAAAAACTTTAACCTTAGACTTTCTACTGTTGACCTCACCCTTTTCCTAAGAGGTCTTTAGGGGGTGTGCATAAGCGCACCAATGTGTCCACCGTCCCTGTCCTATTGTTTCTTTTATTTTTCTTACATGTATCCATGTATTCATAACCATGTTTTTACTTATTATCTTGTAAGCAATTGACAAACCAAATAAAATAAATAAATAATTTCATTGGTATAGTTTGAAAAAGATATAGTACTTTTGGTAATGTGGATATTTTAATTGCCGCGATTTTCTCCATTAATGGTAACTGTAATTTCTCCCATATTTCCAATTCTTTTTTAATTTGTGTCATTAATTTATCATGATTATCATTTTTTAATTGATGAGCATCTTGATGATAACCAGATGCCTAAATATTTTATCTTTTTGACAATTTGCATTCCCAATTTTTCTTTGAGTTATTTTTTTTTTCATCTTTTCGATTCTTAGTCAATATCTTTGTTTAATTTTTATTTATTCTGAGCCCCACAACACTGCCAAATTCTTCCATTTCTTTTATTAATTCTACTCTGGTATCCTCCGGATCTTCCAAGAAAAATACTATATCATCAGCAAAGGTATGTACTTCATAATAATCCCATCTCATTAAGGCCCCTTTAATTTCTTTATTTTTCCGAATATTCTCTAATAAGTTCTCTAGCATAAGTATAAAGAGTAGGGGTGACAATCGGCATCCCTGTCTTACTCGTTTGTTGATCTTAAATGTTTCTGTCCTACCACAATTTATACTGGCCATTTGCATTGAGTAAATTGCTGAAATTGTTTTAATAAACTTGTCACCAAAATCCATACTTTTTAGTTGTATGGTTGTGATTAGTTGTGATTGCATGGGCCTCATGATCCAGGAAAAGACACCACGAGAAGTTGCTCAAAGATTCTCTTAGCCATGGCTGCCACCTGCTTTTGAGCAGAGGTTGTGAGTCTAGGAGAACCTCCAGAAACTCAGAAACAAAAGCAACCATAGGAAAGCTATATAGAATTCATTGTACTTTTTATTTTCTACTTTAAACCTCAGAGCAAGAATGATCCCAACTCTACCTACAATGAAGAGAACCTGGCTCAGTGTATTTTTGATTTTTTTTCTGCTGGAACAGACACAACCCTTGCTACTCTGATGTGGGCACTGCTCCTCTTGACAAATCATCCCAACATCCAAGGTGAGCGAAACCTGGGCTGTGGGAACAAGGCCAGTGCCAGGTTCTGGAACACAGAAGAATTATTTAAAGGTATTTAAAATATTAAGGGTTGTTTAATGATGAACTGAATCTACATAGTAATTTTCCTACATGACCATGGAAATGTCTTCAGAGAACGTTGGGTCCCTTGACTAAGAAACGGAGAGGAGCAGAGCCCCCTAGAGTCAGACACCACTGGACAGGAGAAACCTTGGTCTTTACACTTTATGAGCCACCATTGTGCCCCAGTGCACAATGGGCCACTGAAACTACAGTTCAGGTCCTGTTATATTATTCTCTCTATAAAGATTCTGCCCTCATTTTATAACTCCTTATCAGGTAATATATTCTGGGAAATTCTCATCTCTGTTATGTACAGGTGTTACTATTGCATCAGTATGACACAAGTTTCTCTGAAAGTAGCTAAACTCTTCTATAAAAAGGTAAAATTAACCAGAATTGCCCACAATATTAAACATGAAGCTTCTGTTTTCATTATTATTATTTTTCCAGAGAAAGTCCAGAAAGAGATTGAAGATGTGTTTGGTTCCTCGGGGTCGATTTCCTACCAGGATCGGAAGAAGCTACCCTACACCAATGCTGTGATTCATGAAATGCAGCGTGTAAAATATGCCTTGCTCTATGGGATTCCCAGGCAAAGCACAAAGGATGTGACAATGAGGGGATATCACATTCCAAAGGTGAGAAATGTGTTCAGGATATATTGCAATAGCCCAACATGGAAGGAAGAAGAGAACAGGGCACTTGGAAGGTCTCTCATCAGGAAGTCGCAATTAGTCATGCCAAACGGAATAAGCAAGAGCGGCAAAACCTTTTGAGGGATTGTTGTGGTTAGCCGGAAGCAGGAGCTGACGGCTGAGGAGAGCAAGGACTCAGATGAAGGGCCAGGACCATTAGGGAGTGGACTGCTGCCTTCAGAAATTGTGGGGGCTGGCAGTAGTAATGAGGAGGTTCCTGAGGAGCCTGTGCCAAGTGCACATGTGTTCAGGGTTGCTCGTGGGAAAGAGCAGCTGCAGCAGCACGGGTGACTCGGGAGTAAGGCTGCAAGGTCATGGCCCCTCCTTCATGAAGATAAAAGCCAGCTGGGAATCAGACATGTAGGAAGCGAAGACGTTTTGAAACTTCAGCCTCGTGGACATTGCTGCCTTTGTCTTGTGTTTGCTCTCTTGGAACCAGGTTTGAGTCAGAACAGGGATGAATTATGGGTTTGAATGCAAACACCTCTCAGCTTTTAAAATTACAACCTTAAACATTTTATTTTTATCCTAGGAAGATGATAAGAGTTATGGGGCTGAACTTGAGATCAGAACTGCAGTCATGTATAGCTATGTTTCTTTGTCCACTTTGTCAAGAGACAAGGTGACTTTAGTTAAGAGAAAGGAAGCTAAGCCATTGAGCAATCACTGCTCTCAGAAACTGAGAAAGGAACAAGCATGGATCTGTAAAGTCAAGCTACGAGCAAGGGTTTCATCAATATTGTTTGAACTTCTTTGCTTCTCTGCTTTATGAAGCTGTTCTGTTTGATTCATCTTTTTTTTAAAACAGGGGACCTTTATTTTTCCAGACCTGCGTTCTGTTCTTTTTGATCCTGAACAATGGGAGACACCTGAAAAATTCAATCCAAATAATTTTTTAGATAAGGATGGAAAATTCATTGACCGAGAAGAGTTTCTGCCCTTCGGATTAGGTAAATCCTTAAGCCAAAAGCAGCTTATTCATTTCTTATTTCATTTATACTCTGTAGAATAGATTATGACCCCCTTTAGTCTTCTCCACAGGTAAACGTGCATGCGTGGGAGAGCAGCTGGCAAGAATTGAGATCTTCATCTTTCTGACCAGCCTGTTGAGGGCCTTCAACTTCCGGTTGCCTGAAGGAGTAAAAGAACTCAACGAAGCCCCTGTTGTAAAATTGATAATGCACCCACACCCTTACAAACTGTGTGCTATTCCCACACAGGCTTAAACTTTAAAAAAACAGCATGAAAAGCATAAAACTGTTTCCTATAGGCCTGTTCTCTTAATTGAACTTTTGCTTTCATTTATTGTACTTTAAAACTTTTTCAGCCTAGTTCACAAACATACTTCACCAGTTCAACCAGTGGTGTGTGAACAATATGCTAAGTAAATTTGCTTTGTTTTACCTTAGTTTTCTTTTGCCAATAAACCTATTACTCTCCATTTAGTCCCAGACATTTCTTTTCACACAGCCTTATTAAGGCTGTTATGGCATTTCAAAGCAGCAGTCTAAACCCAGGCCAGGTCTACTTATCAGGTAAATGAGGTAACCGAATGATGTGATAGCAGTGTTTCAATCGTGGTGGGATTCAAATAATTTAACAACCGGTTCTCTGCCCTAATGACCAGTTGGGTAGGCATGATCATATGACTGGGTGGATGTGGCCAACTCGATGTCACTTACGTCAAGGGGTGCTTTTCCTCGCCTTGCCTCTCATGATTGTAGGGATGCTGCAACAGTTGTAAGTGCCAAAAATTGCAGGGGTGGGATTCTACCAGTTCGCACTTATTTGCTAGAACCGGTTGTTACCATTCTAAGCAGTTCAGAGAACTGGTTATTAGAAGAAATTACTGGCCTATTCCTGTAAGGAAGGCAGGAAGGAAACATCCTGGTGTTGCTTACAGAAACTGCCTCTCCGTTAACCCTTATTACATTCTTGACAGGACTAGACTTCCTGTCTCAGGAACGTCTCTGGAGTTTTTTCCCCCTCCTTTGCTGGTACTTTGCTTGTGTGGAGTGACCATTCAAAGTTACAGTGGCACTGAAAAAAGTGACTTATGACTGTTTTTCACACAACTGTTGCATCATTCCCACAGTCATGACAGGCCAGGCAAGGAGATGCGTGCCTCGATGTGAGTGATATCGAGTTGGCCACACCCAGTCACATGACCACCAAGCCATGTCCACCACCTAAGCCATGCCCACATAACCTGTTGTTAAAAAATTTGAATCCCACCCCTGAAAAATTGTCATAAGTCAATTTTTTCAGTACCATTGTAACTTTGAATGGTCACTAAATGAACTGTTGTAAGTCAAGGATTACCTGCAGAAAAATACAAAAAGTTTCTTTGCTTGCAAAAAGCTGCCTTAATTACCAGTCATTAGATTAAAAATACCTGCAAGCCGGAGTTACAAATCAGGCAGGGTGCCAGAGCACCTTGAGGAATTAAAATATTAAAATGCAATGATAACTTTCAGCAGTCAACTCTTGCTCAAAAATTGAAATCCTTTAGTGGAAAAGTCATTTAAGCTCTCCAGAAAGAGTACACCCAGGAGAAGCAATCAATAAATCCATTTGCACTTTTTAAAGATACCAGCTGGTCTCACCTAACAAAATATCCTAAGGAAATCATCCAGATTTAAGCAAAGATTACATGCCCCCCAGTAAGGCAGTAATATAATCAGTGCCAAGCTTGCATCCTGCCTCTTGGAAGTACACCCCAAAAGGACACTGCCAGGAACAACTAAAGCAGTGAAGGGAGACCCCTGCCTCCTCAGATAGAAAAAGAAACCATGAGGCAGGAAAAAATTCAAACACAATACAAATAATTAAATCACAACAGTAGCTGTTGCTTGTTAAACCAATCAACAGACCAACAGACACAGGAACTAGACAGATTTTTCAACCCAGTTTCTTTTCAGGAACACAGATTAACCTTTTTCCTTCCAAACAAAGCTGAATACCAATAGATACAGGATTAAACCAAACCTCAGAAAGGGTATGTAAACTCACGTTTGAATGTCAATCTTTCTAGCCAGCCAAGAAACCTTGCTGAATTCACTCATCGTGCTTCCTTGCCATTAAAAGCTTCTTTCTGGCAGCTCTGCTTCATTACTCAATTATTTCTTCAAAGTGTTGATCATTGCATCCCGGCTGGATGAATTCCAACAGGGGAGTATTTCCTTCCAACAGCAGTATAGCTTTTATTTGTGCACTGCCCAGAGTCACTTAGATGAAATGGGCAATGTATACATTTGATAAACAATCAAAATAAAAATAATAAATTATAAGAATAGAAATGATGAGAATAGACCTAAGATTAGCATTACCAGGTAGACCAGACGGGGAAAGCTTTTGGGAGCCACTGAAGGAATTCTTTTCCGTTGCCTCTTTACCAATGCCTCCCCCTTTTCATCATAAAAATTACATGCACCCATCAAGTCTTCCTGATCTGATCACCGTTTAATCTTTTGTCAGGTTTTTTTAAAAAAACAAAAAGGATTCTAGGAAGTTAGCGCTCACCCCTCTCCTAGAAATATGAAACATCCTTCGAAATATTAAAAAGGCAGAATATTTCCCCTAAAAGGGAAGCAGAAACTCAGAGGGGCAGAAGCTCACCCCCACCTTGTTAAAGGGTGGGCCATTAAGTGCCTGGGGCAGAGTATTCTACATAACAAAGCCCTCTACCCGTCTCATCACATGGCCTGGGAAGATTGCATCAGCCAGCACTCAGGTGAAGCCATGTGATCCAGAAAAAGCCTACAAAGTTAGCTAAGACCCCCCTTCCCCCTGGAAGACTAACAGCCATTGGGATGCATTTCATACACTGGAACAGCAAACACTAAGGTGGGGCCCAACAGAGGGTATAAAACTAATGGTCTCTCAGCCTCTTGCTCCTTCTGTTCCTTCAGCCAACATCTTGAAGCATGTGATCATGCTTTGCCCTTTGGAGCTCCAAGCCATGTGGTCCTGTGCACCATTAAGCATCTTTCCAAGCAGTCACCACGTTTCCAGTGTCTATCTTCCCCACTTGGAACTGAACCCAGAAGGATAATTCTTCCAGCAATTGATTGGAAACTAATAGCAAAGTACCTTTTGATGGTCTGTGTAATTAGCGCCAGTATTTTGTCAGGAAGAGAGTGCCACGTTCATTCACATACTTCTGACCAAGGGCCACTTAAGTAGCAGAGGAAGAGATTTTTCTTAAAAAACCTGGGACATGGGGTAGGGTAGGGTGGGAGCAAAAGCAGTTAGGGAAAGAAAGCCATGTGTTGTGTACCACCTTTGGTGAATGAGACAATTTATACATAAAGTAAATAATTAAATGAATAACAAGCAAGAATAACAAGCAAGAATTAGGTGATTCAAGGGGAGAATTGGGGCAATTCTTGTCTTTCAGGCATGGGCCTGGCACTCAATTACCATAAAGAAGTCCTATAAATGGATAATTGTGGAATGACCCTGGGAACCAAGTGAAACCCGAGTCATCCTTAGAGTTCTGATGTGCATCTAAGGAGAAAATGAAAACATCTGGAGCCTAGGAACAAGAACAGATGTGAGCTTAAAAATGTAGTTAAAGATACAGCTTTCAGGCTATGCTCAGAATGTGACACAGCAAGGCAATCTGTAAGTTTGGTGGCAAGGAATAAAAAGAATAATAAAAGTATGGGGTCATAAGGCAAAGCACAATATCACAAAGGGTGGCTAGGTGTGACTCAAGCCACCCGACCTCTGTTGGGTTTAATGTTGCTTCTGAATTGGGCAATTGTTCCTGGTAGAGCTTTAGCAAGGATCATTTCTGTTCTGTTGCAGGGAAAAATCTGACTCGAGACCAGTGTGAATTCAACTCTTTATTAGCTCTCAGTAACTTCAACTAAACCAGAGCCGCGGCAGCCTCTTTTATAGTGGCGGCTCGCAGCTCGCAGCCAATGACAGCTTCTTAAACTTCCTGCCATCAGGCAGACCAATTATAAACAGTATCCAAGTATTCAATCTGGACCAATCAATAGGTGGCATTTGCGGACCAATTAGAATGTAGTATTACGAGTATGCAAATATATACAACACCCCTCCCCACTTGGTTTGGTCCAATCTAATTACGTAGTCATGTAAGTAGGTGGGGCTTTTATGGTTCCTACTTGACCTGCGCAATTCAGTTGCGATGTTGTCTTCAGCTGGTTCGGATGGGATCTCTGTCTCTCCTGTCCTTCTCCGTGGAACCTCCTGGAAGGGTGAGACAGCTATGCTGCTCCCACCCAGTCTACCTGGGCTGGTTGAGTTGGCTCTGCTGCTCCTGCCTGGTCTCCCCAGGCTGGTTGAGTCGGCTTGGCTGCTTCTTCCAGGAGTGGCTTCATGTTGGTTTTCCGCTGTCAGCTCCCTTCTTCCGAAGTCGCCTGCAAGTAAGTGGTTTAGGTTTCTTGATGGGCCTACTGGTGGTGTTGGTTGGTGATTTGTTTTTTGTTATGTTAGAGGAGGGTCTCCCCCTCCCCTTTTATTATGGTTTGAGAGATCTCCCCCCTCTCTGGTTTTATTATAGTCTGTTTGGTGTGGTACTTGTGTGTGTGGATGTTCTAAGTTCCTAGTGTTGTCGGTGTTTCTCTCTATTGTCCGAGACCTTAGTTGGTCTATGTGTCTCTTCAAGTTTCTTCCATCCTCCATTTGTAGTCAGTATGTCCGGGGTCCCGTTATTTGGGTTATTCTAGCCAGTATCCAAAGTAGGTCCCCCATAAGGTTTTTGGCGTATACCAGATCCCCTGTTGTAAATGTGCGGTACTTAATGGAGGAGTCTGGTGGCTTTTCGGGGTTGGATGTGGGGTGTAATCTATCCAGGTGCGACCGTAGTTTCCTGCGCAGGAAGTTCTGCTGGGCTCTTGTTAGTCGAGGTGTTTGGTGTTATGTGTTGGATGGTTAGCATTTTATCGATTTTTTTCTTGGATGTCACCTGTGTCTAGTTTATCTAATGCCTCTTTGGTATACTGAATCATGCGTTCTGCCCGTCTGTTTGTAGCCAGGTGAGCGGGCACTGTTAGGACATGCCGTATGCCCAGTTCGGCGAGGAATTTTTCAAATGACTTTTGGCATTTAGTGCATGTTCCCACCCATGTCTCAATGTCCTTGTCCATCCCTGGCCACCAGATGTCACTCCTGGCCAGGGATTTCATTTTTACGATACCCGGGTGTCCTTTGTGTAACATACACAGTACTTTTTCCTGTAGTCTTTCCGGAATGATAACCCTATCCCCCCACAGTATACATCCCTTCAAAATCGAGAGTTCAGTTTGTCGGTAATGGGTCTAAAAGTTTCATCATTATCGGTTTCTGGCCAACCCTTACCTACCCAGTTTAATATCCGCACCATCTGTGCGTCTTTTGCAGTTTCTTTCGTGGTGTGTGATGCGGTGATAGGAAGGTTCGGTAATGTCTCAA